GCCTCATGAGCAGTAGAAACAGAGGTGACATATGTATAAATTGATTCAGAAACAAAGCATCAAAGAGCATGGAGTATCAACTTATCTTGACGAAACCAGTTTCGATACGCTGGATTCGGAACAAGAGCACCCTCCTAAGTCACCTTTTATGGAAGAGCAGAGGGAATAATGACCTTCGCGACAAGGAAACCAACGATAATACACTGTGCTTCGCCACAAGGAAACCAACGAAGAAGAAAGAATAATGACCAATGGAAGTGAAAGAAAGAAGAAAGCCACAGAGATTGGTACTTTGTTTCACGGAAGGACAGAAAGACAAGCTGGTCTTTCTCGCATGAAGAAGAAAAAAAGAGTAAAGTTTGGATCAGAGCTCTATATGACATTTTTCTAGATCTGATACCATATTAGGAATATAGGATTTTGGGATTTGAATCTTGTATATTATTGATACTATTAGAGGGTATATATACATATACAAGGAGATGTTTATGGAACTAATTGAGGCAGATACAAATAATTACAATTGATGGTGGGACTGGATTTGTGGTAATTCAAAATGCATTTGTTATGATTTTTTGAATATTTCTATTATATAGACGGCCGTGAAATGACTTAACTATCAGGCTCTAAAAATGTGGATGCACAAACATGATACATTTTTTTATCACTGAGATATATGCTTATTAGTTAATTATACAAATGTATCTAGTTTCTTTAGTTAATGTTGACAAGTAATTAACTAATGAGTAGGCCTAGTGATAATGTGGAGATAATAACATTCACTCACATATTGGGGGCCGAACTTGCAGATTCACGATGATCTTTAAGTATCTCTTGAATGATGTTAGTTGATTTCAATGCTATTGCAAGCCTAGAAGAGACCCTTTTAGCATGATGAACTTTCCCAATCGGGCTTGTTAATTCGGAGTTGATAGATCACAAGCCTGCAGGCCTATGATTCATAATTCACACGGACTAATAACACGCATCAACACATTGATCGGTTTTGCTAACAAAAATTTTCGGAGATGAAACCTGGCAGTGGCAAATGTGATTCAGAGAGTCCAAGAATTCTTTTCAAATAAACGTGTTAAAAGAGGTAACTCTACTATCCTAACCCACATATCCAAACTTCATAATGATGATACTAGAATTTTGTTTGTCTCATATCCTATTGAAATGTGTTGTTCCAATGCTTTCAAATATTTTTGTCGTTAGGCTTGGTGATGTGTTGCCTCTAGGCATTAGTAAGTTCCCTTTATCAACAGACGAATGATCGGTGATAACATCTCGTTAGCACATGATGGTGAAGCAGGAGATGTAATATAACAATAGATAATGAAAGCATTTTTTGGGATGAAACTTACAAAGCATTCATTAAAAACGATCAACCAAAAGCCAATATGACAATTATAATAACAAAATTTCTATGAATACATCTTGTCCAAAGGGATGTGACAGTGATAACATTGACGATGATTGGAGTTGGGCTCAACTGCAGGCGTAGTCTTTCTAAAGCCAACATCGTTGTTGCACTAGTAGTGCTACTAATTTTTAGATTTTCACGATGATATTGATCACTTTATTCATCATTTTATGCGTTGATGATGCACTTCTTGCTTACTAATGGAGTGATAATCCATTGATTTCCATTTTCTTGACTATCCATCTGATGATGAGGAGTGGATGACATGATAATATTTTTGGTATAATGTATCCGATAAGGTGCTGGAAGCTATTTCAGTTGTAGGGCTTCGTGATATTGGTGGTGGTGTTGGTAATGATGATAAGTGGTTGTGATCTTATTGTTTCGGGGGTGATAACGACTCTAGGTGATGGTGGTGGTGTATTTTTCATCGTCTTCCCCTTTGGCTTCCTGAAAATAAATGTCTTCTTTTCATCTCCAAACCCACATGAGGTAGAGACATATTTCTGTCAATTTTGAACATGTTGAAGATAAGGCTCCTTCTACTTATAGACCTAGAGGTGAATTCAAGGGGATGTGATAGGGGTAACATTGACGATGAATTGTAGTTGTGCTCAACTACATGCACAGTCTTTTGAAAGTCATCATTGTTGTTGCATTGGCAGTTGCTACTGTTTTTTAGATTTTCACGACGATATTGTTCACTTGAGTAGCAGGATGAAACACTAGCTTGTGCTCTAGGAGAGGTAAGGGGGGTGATCACTTAATTCGTCATTCTATGATGTTGATCACTTAATTCGTCATTCTTGCTTATTAATGGAGTCAAAATCCTTGTATTTCAATTTTCTTGACTGTTCATAGTGGAGGAGGACATGAGATTGTGTTGTAGGCGTGGATCTTGGCACCCAAGATGATTGTGATAGAATGTGATTTGGAACAGAAATAGGGAGAGATTAGACGAAGATTTGAGGAAGAAGAGCAAGATGTAGGTCGATGACCGATTTAGGGAGAAGAGAGGAAATTAGGGTTGGGAGATATGTAGAACTATTCTTTGATTATTTTCATTGCCTCTAATCACTAACTAATGAATTATTACCTAAAGTACCTCTGCCCATACACGTGCCTCCAACAGATTGTTTTTGGTATAACGTATATGAGAGAAGGCGCCTGAAGCTAGTTTGGTTGAAGGACGCCGTGATATTGGCCGTGGTGTTGGTAATGATGATGAGAGGTTGTGATCTGATTGTTTTGGGGGTCAAATCAACTCTAACTGATGGTGGTGGTGTGCTTCATCGTCTTCCCCCCTCTGCTTCCTCAATATGGACGCATGCTTTTCATCGTCATGCCCGCATATGGTAGAGACTACTATGTCTGCCAATTTCAAATACATTGAAGAGAAAACTCCTTCTACTTATAGACCTCGCGGTGATTTCAAAGAGACGTGACGGTGATAACATTGACCATGAATTGTAGCTGGGCTTTAGTGCAACCTTTGATAATGCAAATTGGAACTTCCTCTTTGATGTAATAACTATTAGAGTGTGTTTGGATAGAATGATTTGAATTTGGTATTTGTGATTTGGATTTCCAAATATCAAATTATGTATTTGGATATTAATTACATTTGGTATTTGGATTTGTGTCAAATTCATTGGGTGATTTCCAAATACATGTCTAGTGTATTACTTATCAACTTCAAATACATTTCAACAGCTAGTGTTTTGAAATACCTCCTAACAAAAGAGTGGACCTTTTTGTAAAATATTAAAAGTTTAGGTACTATAATTTGAGGCAAAACATATAAAGGTACCAAAATGTAATTTTACCATCAAAATTTCAGGACCTTTTTGTAAAATTTTGAAAGTTTAGGTACTAAATTGTAATAAAAAAATAAGTTTGCATACCAAACTGTAATTTATCAAAATTTGTAGTAAGTGACAAAAAATTTAAGTTTAAAGTAAAAAATCATAAAATTTAGGGTTAATACAATATATTAGCCACAACTATTATGAAGCGGGAAATTATAGCCACAACTATGAAAATTCAAATAATTAGCCATAACTATTGTTGCAGGTCAAGATATGGCTAACTGTCTATTACTGTTATTGAATTTTTGACGGAGAAGGCCACGTCATCGGCCACGACAGCGGCCACGTAGGAATGCTTTTAGTTTATAACTTCAAACATAAAAGTTTAGGCAGTATTACTAACGAAATTGTTAACAGATAGTTAACGTTTGGCTAATAATTTGAATTTCAATAGTTGTGGCTATAATTCCCCGCTTCATAATAGTTGTGGCTAATATATTGTATTTACCCTAAAATTTAAAATAAAAACAAATTATAAATGAGTATCCAAACAACAAATTTGAATTGCATCCATTTCAAATGCTAGTGTTTCAAATATATTCATTTCAAAAAGTATATATTACAAATATTTTACATTTAAAATACACATATCCAAACGAACTCTTATAGTCTTTTTTAACAATATATATCCTGAATCACTCGTTACTTGGTGATTGATGGATGCTAAGCTTCATATGTGGTTGGGATTGTTTTGGTTAGTTCTCATATGCAGCGGCGGATCCAGAACACAGAAGTGCACTAGGCCGCATTTTATTAGAAAATTAGAATAGTAAAAAAAAATATAATGATTATAATTTTTTTACAATGTAAATTGTACACGACGGTATTTTAATTTAGCGAATGCATTAATAATGGAGTCCACATCCATACCAATAGTACACTGTTTCAAATAAAATACTTGAGCAATCGACTAGAAATCTATAGCTCATTTGGTTGCGCAAATCAATTTTCACATGTTTCATTGTTGAAAAGGTTCTATTCGTATTAGCTGTTGAAACGAGCAGCATCAACACTAGACAAATCAATCTACTAATCTATTTGCATTGGGTTTCCATCCCTATTTTTACCAGCTGCTCTAGTAAATTTTCCAAGGTAACAAACCTCATATATGTTTTAGTCTTTTACGTTTTAAACTTTTTGAATTTTTAGGTTTCATTGTTTTTTTAGACGAATAACCTTTGGGGTTATAATTTATAAGCTAAATTTAGAGTAGTGATTTTGAATATGTTCATCTCAATTATTTTTCTAATTCTACACAATCTTATTTTAAAATAACAACAACCCGAATATCTAAAATCGAAAAATTCATAAGGCCTATACTAACTATGAATCCAGAGGAGGGCTGGGCCGGGGCCCGGGGTGGCCACCCCCTGGATCCGCCACTGCTCATATGGACAACTTTTTACTACAAACAAGAACACAAAAAGAACCAAAAAAAACTTATACTAGGAATCTCTAGAGCAAGCAAACGCGAATTCTTATGAGATGAATTGTGCCATGAATAGAATCCATCACAGCTTGAAAGACATTCTATTTCTAGAAAATTGAGTGCAACTAATTGCAGTCTTCCACGCGGATTGTAGCTTTTTTTCTTCAAATAAATAAATAAATAAAAGAAAAAACAATCAATCTATTAGTTTCTCCTTTTCCGCCGCGAAACGCTCCCCGCTCATATAAATACAGTTGGACACCTCCCCCTCAGTTCCCGCATCCTTCCTCGTGAAGCCAACTCACCAATCGCGATCCATCGGAGACTCGCCTCCTCTCCTTTCCCTCTCCGACGGATCTCTCTCTCTCTATAACGCATCCTTGACTTGAATTCCATTCCCATCCACACCGCCACCGCGCGCCATGGAAGAGGCCAGGGAGAGTCTGGTCAGGAAAACTTATTTCGCCGACGGCGGCGGAGCAGCCGCCGCCCCGAATTCGAAATTCTCCCGAAGCGTATCCCACGCCTACGACGAGCTGCACTCCTTCCGCAATTGCCTCCGGTGGATGTGCCTGGATCAGTCCAATTTCTGTTCCGCCTCCCTCTCCTGGCTCGTCTTCGTCCTCCTCGCGCTCGTCGTCCCGGGTATCTCGCATTTCGTGCTCGCCTGCTCCTCCTGCGACAGCACTCACGAGCGGCCCTTCGATTCCGTCGTCCAGCTCTCCCTCAGCGGCGTCGCCACTCTCTCCTTCCTCTGCCTGTCTAGATTCGGCAGGAAGTACGGCCTCCGGAGGTTCCTGTTCTTCGATCGCCTCTGCCACGACAGCGATACCGTCAGGAAAGGTTACACCAAGCAGCTCGATGTGAGTTTTCGAAACTCCCAATCTCGTTTATAATTCGCTGATTAATTCGTTGAGCTTTTGAATTTTCCCCAATCCTCTACATCCTTGTTGCTTGCTTCTCAGTTTTTCGATTTCCATGTTAATTAGTTATTCCCTCTGCTCTAAGCAAGTAATCAGGTGATTATGTGACAGTATTATTTTTCATTTTAGGTGAATTTAAAACTTAGTTTATTACTACATCAATGAAAAAGGACTCAATTTGCCAAGTAATGATAGTTGACAAAATGCTTCCTTATGACTGGGAACTGGGAAGTGCACTTTATTCAATTTTATTGGAAAAATAATTTGTAGTATATTACTAGTTCGGTCACATAGTATTACAGGTCACTGAAATTTACAGCGGAAGAATTAAGTTGAAGTTAGAATGAGCTATAGCCTCTTAATTTGAAATACATAATAATAAATTACATATAAAGTTCCTAACAAATATAGTAATCGATTTCAATTTTCACGATTTAAATCAGTTTTTCTCATTCAGATTCTTGATTTCACCACTCAAAATTTGTATAATCATCTGATAATTTGTATTCCGGTTGGATTTGGATGGTGAGATCGCAGGATGCATTAAAATAATATGTGTGATTGATTTGTGGCTGAGACGTGGTGGGAACAGTTCCGAGCTTCGACCCATACGGTCAATGACAGGCAGTGAGGCACTGCTCATCTTCAACACGCAAATGGGTCCTTGGCCCCCCAGCCACATAAAATAAGCAAAAGTAGCGTTTTTGGCTGTTCTAGGCCCTTCTATTTTGCTAAAGAATCACTTTAGGAGGAAATAATAAGATGCTTCGCTGAATGAGTATTGAGCTTCTGAATTACCGATCTACTTCCTTTTTTCAATTTGCCCCCTGAAATCTTGACAAAGACTGAATCTGAATTCCTTAGGAACTGTCCAGATCAATACAGAACGTGCCCAACCATTATCAGAACTGTTACTATTGTTAATTATTTGTGCGAGATGGAGCAGATTCTGCTTTCACCAGCGTCCACTAATGGGTTCATTTCACATCCATAATTTGCTCAGTACTTGTGAATTTTTAGTTGAGGAAGTGACATAGTTTTGGACTATATAACTATGGAGAGAACTAATTTTTAGTTCTGCCGACTTGACATGTGCAGAGTTCACTGAAGCTGCTTGCAATCTTCGTCGTGCCATGTTTTCTGGCAGAATCGGCGTACAAGATATGGTGGTACGCTTCGGGCGCGTCACAGATCCCATTCCTCGGCAATGTCCTCCTAAGCGACACCGTGGCGTGCGCAATGGAGCTCCTCTCGTGGCTCTACCGCACCACCATCATCTTCCTCGTCTGCGTCCTCTTCCACCTGATCTGCCACCTCCAGATCCTACGGCTCCAGGACTTCGCCAAGTTCTTCGAGGTCGATTCGGACATGGGCGATGTGTTGTACGAGCACCTCAAGATCAGAAAGCACCTCAGGATCATCAGCCATCGGTACCGCTCCTTCATGCTTTGGGCCTTGATCATGGTCACGGGGAGCCAGTTCGCATCCTTGCTCGCCACCACCAAGCCCGGCGCCATCGTTGATATCTACCGTGCTGGAGAGCTTGCGGTATGCGGAAATGGGTTGTAATCTTTTTAAGTAAGGAAAAAAAGGTATATGCTGTTTTCTGACAATTTTGCTATTGTGGCAGCTCTGTTCGATGACGCTTGTGGCGGGTGTTCTGATTCTGCTGCGAAGCGCAACGAAGATCACCCACAAGGCGCAGGCCGTGACGAGCTTGGCTGCTAAGTGGAATGTCTGCGCCACGCTAGAGCGCTTCGACGCGACAGACGGCGAGACTCCCACGGCCGCGATGATGGCTGGTGGTGGTGCTGGCGACTCGGGGACAGAGACTGATGATGCAGGGGACGAAGAGGACGAGCTAGACAACTCCAAAATCATGCACGCTTACGCCTACAGCACGCTGTCATTCCAGAAGCGACAAGCATTGGGTAAGTATTTATGATCCACATTTATTTACTTTCTGCCGTCGTCTCTGATGCTGATTCCTGAACTTTGGTGGGTGGTTGTGGCAGTGACGTACTTTGAGAACAACAAGGCAGGGATCACGGTTTACGGGTTCACCCTCGATAGGAGCACTCTGCATTCCATTTTTGGGGTTGAGCTTGCTCTTGTTCTCTGGTTGCTGGGGAAGACCGTCGGCATTTCTTGAACTTGCACGATTGTAGAGTTTTTTCCTGTCCCCTGTAACTTAATTAAGAAGATGGATCTATATATGTATAGTAGCATCAATCACCTGTCACAAAAGTCTTAACAGTGATCTATATTTTATATACCATGGCTCTTTTAGCCACCAACGAGTAATGCATATGTGGATTTGTGGGTACTTAGTAAGAAATGACATGTATTTATTGTTCAGTTTGAGAATTGTGGCGGCCGGTGAATGTTATCAATGCTAATACCGGGTATGTAGGTCTATTTTCTAATTGGGAGAGAGGAAGGGAGGGATAGATAGATTCCATATGTGTTTACATGTTTATCATTTTTGTGCTTTGATTGGGTAAAAAATTGTTTGTGCTGGATTTTGTTCCGATTTTCTTTTGTTTGTCGTGTCACTTGATCAGTTTGTTGATTGTATCATTATTTACTTTATCAGTTATCATTCATGATTGTCAGAGAATTTTACAGATGATTTGTACTACATTAACAAAGATAGAGTTACATAATGTGCTTGTCAACGAAAGAAAAAAGACAATTGCCAAATTGCAACATCACTAAACAAAAACATGATTAATTAATGAGCTAGAGGGACTCATTCCCGAGTGACTCTCCCATTGCTTTTGAAAACCGAACAATTTCCTGATTTTTTACTGCTTTTGTTTACAATCACTCTCATTAAACTTAGTCCCGCTAGATAATAGATCATCACGGAGTAGGTAGTAGATCTAGACCCCGAGTTGATAAATTGAACTTGCCACTATTCTGCATTTCCGGACTGCGATTATACTTGGTCGTAGTTTGGTGTTGTGTTTTAGCGTGTCAAGTTTTTTGCGCCGTTGTCGGGGATCTTCTAGTTTATTGTAGAAACGTGAAAGTCTATTACTTTAGCATTTTCTTTACTGCATTTCCTCTCTTCCACCTGTGTGCCTTCATGGGTTTGTGTTTGCATTCTATGTGCAGGTAGTGCATGACCTGTAGCCAGTCAGGAGAACTACTGCCGTTAGACCAAGAGTTTGAACGGGCTTGTAGGAACTTCAAGCGAGCTTTAAAGGCGCGACTAGGGATGGCAAAAATATTCGTAACCGTGGATATCCGCCCGAATCCGGCCTAGTCGGGTAGTGTAAAATTCGAACCCGAAGGACATTTAGTGGGTACGGGTAAAACCCGAACCCGAATATTGTGGGTAATGGGTGGGCATGTGTTTCTAACTATCCAACCCGAACCCACCCGATTATACGCATGCATGTGTATTTTGTGTAGAAATAATTATTATTTTTCTCTAACATATTTTATATTTAGCATATAAATATAATATTTTCATGAAATTGTGTTGTTTTAGTTAATTTTCTTCGTTCCATTGAACTATTGTCGTACTTTTCCTCTTACGTAATGTGAGAATACGTGTGAATGTTAACATATTGGTTGGAGTTATGAAGATAAATTATTATCCATGGATAACCATGGATACCCGAAACCTGAACGGGTATGGACTTGGTTTTAATTTTCTACCCGTTTCACATGTGGGTATGGGTATGGGTAAAACCTGAATTACTTAGGGTAGGGTAACATATATGCACTATCCATCCCCGACCCGACCTATTGCCATCCCTAGGCGCGACTGCTTGCGGTGGAGGCTCTAGCACAACTGCACATCAACCAAGAGGAAGACATGGGTGAGCCACAGAACAATGATGTGGTCATTCCCGAGGAGCACACCATGGGATACTACTGGACCGCCCGAGCCGCAGACATGAGGTTCCCCATCCAACACCCTCAAGTTGTTGCCAACAACTTTGAGGTGAGTACCTTTGTCATCACCATGTTGCTCGGCTCAGTGGTATTCCGTGGAAAGGAGGGTGAGTGTCCCAGATCGCACCTTCGGTGATTCCACGAGCTGATTGACGGGATCAAGATAAATGGGGTCCCTACCGATGTCATCCAGCTGAGATACTTCTCATTCACTCTAGAGGGGCAAGCCAAGGAGTGGCTGAACACTCGGCCTCCGGGATCGATCACTACGTTCGCCAACCTGGCGGACAAGTTCCTCACCCGCTATCATCCTCCGTCGAAGACGGCGGACCTGCATAAGCAAATCACTCATTTTACCCAGGAGGAAGACGAAACCATTCGGGATGCTTGGGAAAGATACGCCAGTCTTTTCCTGAAGTGTCCCAATCATGGTTTCAATGACGCCTTCAAGGTGGGTACCTTCTACCACACCCTCTTCCCCGAAGACAAGCAGCTGATCGACTCGGTTTGTGGCGGGAACATGCTGACTAAAACGCCACCGTAGTTGAATCGGCTCTTTGAGGAGATGGCAGAGAAAGGATATGATTGGGGTACAGCTAGGAGGTCGAGGCGAGTACCAGGTCAGGGTGTACATGCTATGGACACCCAATCATCTGATTTGGTGTAGGTTGTTTCTAAGCTAGTCTCGACCATCGATCGTAGAATGGTTCCAGGGACAGGACTGCAGCAGGTAATGCGTTGCTAGTGGTGTGAGAGCTCCCATCACACTGTAGAAGAATGTCAGGCGATGAGGGAATCTACTACTCCTTAGGAGCAGTTGGACTTCATCGGCAATGTTAGGCGTGTCGACCCCTACAGCAACACGTATAACGAGGGGTGGCGTCAACATCCTAACCTCTCCTAGAGTGGAAATAATCCTAAGCCATCAGTCTCCCAAGGACCTCCAGACTTCCAAAGACCGCCATATCAGCCCAGGCAGGGGCAATTCCAGCTGCAGTAGTCTCTCTACCAGCCCATGCAAGGGCAGGCTGCTCAACCGCGGTCGCTACCTTTCCAGCAGCTCCTGCAACCCCAATGCGGAATGATCTGATAGCTGAGCTACGGGACTTGGTGAGTTCTCTTGCTAGTTCCAGTGCTCATAAATTCAACATTATCGAGTAGTTCATGGAAAATGCCTCGAGTAAATTCCTGGCTCTTGAAGCTGGCGAGAGGAACACACAAGCTGTTTTGAAGGATATCCAAACCCAGTTGGGGAGTGTGGCTCAAGCAGTGGCACAGAGGGCTCCGGGTACCTTGTCGGGTCATACCATTCCTAATCCAAAGGACCCGAATGCCCACTGTAATGCTATCACTACAAGGAGCAACAAAATGACTGCAAACCCACCTGTCCTGGCCAGACAAGCAGGAGAGAGACCTGCTTCGGCATTTTTGGCTGTTGAAGAAGAAATGGAGAATGAGGTTGAGGTGCCAGCTCCTAAGCCGCAACCAGTGGTGAAGGATTATGTCCCTCAACTCCCTTCCCTACTCGGTTGCACAAAAACCGTCTAGAGGCAGAGTTCGGGAACTTCATGTCCATGCTTAGGAAGCTGAATGTTCAAGTGCCCTTCTTGGATGCACTATCTCAAATGCCTAAGTATGTGAAGTTCCTGAAGGATCTTCTCTCGAAAAAGCTGAAGCTGAGCGAGCTGGCCACTGTGGAGCTCAGTGAGGAGTGTTCGGCCATTTTGCAGAACAAGCTCCCGCAGAAGCAGAAGGACCCAAGTAGTTTTACTATCCCGTGCTCTATTGGTAATTTGCATGTAAAGAGGTAATTGGCGGATTTAGGCGCTAATATCAATGTTATACCATATTAATTATTCAAGAAACTAGGCATAGGTGAACCAAATGCAACTAGGATGACTATTCAATTAGCTGACCGATCTGTAGTTTATCCTAGGGGCATAGTGGAAGACCTCCTGGTTAAGGTTGGCAGATTCTTTTATCCTGTTGATTTTATTGTCTTCGACATCAATGAAGACGCAGAAGTGCCCCTTATTCTAGGTAGGCCTTTCCTAGCCACCGCCAAGGCTCTCATAAATGTGTATGTTGGGACCCTGACTTTGAGAGATGGCGAGGAGCAGATAACATTTTCCATTGCTACTAATATGAATGTTATCTCGCCTGTGCATGCTTTATCTCACCAGGTACACGAGGCCATCGTGTATCCTTCTGTGTCTTCCGTTTTGAAAGACTTTGCACCCCCTCCTCTTCCACCGCCCCCGCTTTCTCAATTACCAAAAGAGTGAATTAAGGAGGAGTGGCGGCCGAAACTGCAGGTAGCTAAGCTTGCTCGAAAGAAAGCTGGCGACCACTATGAGCTTGTCCCGGCTCTTAAGCCACGACCGCCCTGGCCATCTGAGTATTCACTCGCTTGCATCCTGCCCGATGGCCGGGTGGAGTTGACGAGTGCTGGTGGTCACACCCGTTGTGTGCATGGCCACCATCTAAAGTTGTACCTCAAGAGTGATGTGGCTCTACTCTTGGAGGCACATGTTCCTACACCGCTCTGAGCATCCACCCTCTGCGTCCAACTAAAGACGTAAAGTATCTCGTGCCCGGGGTGGTCTAATTTCATCTGTGGCTGTGTATTTTTCGAGCCGGAGCACGAATGAGGTTTGGTTGTTTGAAATTGTGGTTTTAAGATTTTGCAGAGACAGGCTCGGCAGTAAACGCACGGGCGCCAGGGGTTGAAAACAAGACCATGTTTCGACCCCTGTCCGCCCGTGATTTGCTATATGGGAGAAACACGCCTCGGCCTAAAAAACACGTGCGCGGAGCACCAAAAACACGACCGTGTTTTGGGCTCGCACATGTTTTGGCCCCTATAAAAGACAAAATCTGGCCGTTTCTCTCCCCATATTTCATTTTTTTTCAAAAACCGAGACCACCACTACGCTCTTGGCGTTGAGGAGCACATTCCCCAAAATTTTGGTCCCTTTGGCGAAGGTTGGGTCGCCAGCGGCGAGTTCTCCGACAATTTTGGTGTGAATTTTCATTCTCTTCACCTTCCTTGTGGTATCTACTTGCGTCCCCAGGTGTATTTCTCATTTTCTCTTCGTCATTTTTGGAGAATTGATACCTAGGGTTCTAGGTGAAGAACTTGAGATGTTTGCTTGAAATTGGATCATCTTGGTAGGCCGATGGAGTTTATATGCTTGAAATTGTTGTTCCCATGAATTAGTTTCACCGGCCTACCAATTGCATGTGTAGAATTGTGCCCATGTATGCTCGGTTGGCGATTTCTTGGTGAATTTCAGATAGGATGGTTGTATGGTTATAATGTGCTTGTCTGTTCCACATGGAGCCTAGTCCACTATCCAAATCTTTTGATTTGAGGGCTCCCAGTGTGGTTTTGCCTAACATTAACCCACTATGATGTGTGGCATTTGTGCTTTCTGTTGCTTTGTAGGATCATGGAGGACTACCTGGACCTCTTGAGTATTACTTAGCGCCACCAACTGCGGACCATCCTCACCCGCCATATCTCCGAACACCTGCATCTCGACTTTGTGGGGTTTGAGGCGCTCCACGCTCGCGAGGATATGGATGCCGCTGTTTGCGCCTATGGTTGGCGGCGCCTCCTCTGCCTCGCTAAGCCGACTTACTAGGAGCTGGTCTGGGATTTCTACGCTTCCCTTTCCCATTCACAGAGGAGGTCGGCTGACCATGCTGACGTCGTCCGTTTCACACTCGACGGGGTCGAGCACTCCGTCAGTT